CCCCCTATGTATTTAAAAAAGGACTTCTTATTGTCCTTAATCTGGGAAGCTAGTCCCAGTTCCATCTCTGCTTTGGCCTTCCTAACTACCCCCCTACATCCCCGAGCAACTGCAGAATAGTCCTCCCTGGTGATGACCCCTTCTTTCCATTGGGTGTAAGCCTCCTTTTTAGCAAGGAGACATTCCCGGATAACTGAAAGCGAATCATGCTGGACTAGTGATGGTAATTTACTTGAGAGAAGAGATACTCACTTTGGAAGGTATCGAGTGACAGTAATGATTTTGTCCTTTAGGGTCACTTTGTGGAAAGTGCGGCCCATGCTCAGCCAGTACTGGTCTTCTTCCTCAGGTCGATTTCGTGATACAAGGCCTAATTGTAATACACAAAAAATTATCTGCTTGCCTATCAAAGTAGTTGGAGCTTCAGGCTGCCTGCAGACATTAAAAAGGACTTCACCGGAAGCAGCAGCATGTATAGATCGGGTGCTTCAGCAGGGCTTTTTGGCACTTTTATCTAAAACTGATTCAATCAGCTATTAGATAAAAGCACCAGAAAAGCCCTGCTAAAGTGCCCAATCTATACAGATGCCAGGCAAGCTGAGTCCAACTAAGGCACTACCTCTCTTGGCTGCTGCAGGACTGCACCGAGTTTAAAGTGCTGTTTTTTTGGGAGTTTTTTTAATGTCTGCAAGCAGCCTTGCTGAACAAATACTCCTATACTAAAGCACTCCACTGCACTTCTGAACAAGGATATAAACCAAGAGCTGTCCTTCCTGCTACATTTTTAAATATGACTTGCTCGAAAAAATGCTTTTGTTTTTAAGGTACCAGTCACGAATATCACCGTTCAAGATTAAGAATGGGCATAACTTGTTATCGCCACTGTGTTATCTAACATGAGTGGGGCAACTAAACTGCAGGTAAATAACATTAAGTGCTGTGTAAGCATATTATCGTGTAGATAATTTGAACATCATTTTTCATCGCTCAGTTTCATTCCTGGAGCTAGCACCTTCAACTTCGTGTTTTCTCAAAGGAGCCTCTTCATTCATTTCTCCTCTCCCCACCACACAAACAAAAGGCAGCAATTCTAATTCTTACCCCTCATACCTTCTCCTTCCTATAAGCCTCTCATATATGCACTTTAACTTTATACACACACACACACACACACACACACACACACACACACACACACTGCCCCTTCACCCCCACTGTATTTATTTTAATAGAAGACAACCTGCTTTGAGCAGGGGCTGGACTAGATGATCTCCAAAGGTCCCTTCCAACCCTAATTTTTGATGGTTCTATAACCCCGATTAGAAGATGACTCCCCAATAATTAGATTTTATATGTGAAAAATGTATAAATTAGTTATAATTTTTCAAGTATAGAATTTTATTGGAGGTTTGTCTTGAATTTGTCCCCCTCCCACTGCTACAGCACAGAAAATAAATTCTGGAGTGGGGAGGTCAGGTAGCCCCTTTGCTCTCTGCTTCCCCCCAGCTTTTTCCCCTGGCAGCCCCTTCCCCCTCTCCTTACTGTCAGACCCTTCTCTCCTTGAGCACATGGAAATAAAGAGCAAATTTGAAAACAACAACCTTGAAATCAGACATGGCTACAGCACTTTGTATATAGTACCAATACACTTAGTTCATCCAGAACTGATGCACGTTACCTTTTTTTGAACCACTGCAAGTTTTAGCAGTTTTTTTGCAAAAATGTATCTCCCTATATCTTTATACTTTTGTCTCATGACTAATCCAGTTCACTTGACAGTCCATGACACATCTACAGTTAAACCATCATCATTCCTGTTACCGTAGCTGCATCCATGCACCTGCACACCCATCACCATCTCCTTTACCCATCACAATAATGCAGAGCACCTTAGCACCTTCTCCCCGCTTCCCAAATCCTCAGCTTCTTTCCCTAGTCCTTTCACTCATTGTCACAGTCATTGTCGTTGCCCTATCCAGCAGTCCCATTTCTGAACAGTTTGTGCCAATATTTTCTCGTCCACGTATCCCCTGCCATCTTCTCTCCATCATCTTCCTATAGTACATCTGCAACTCACTCACTCCCATTCAGACACAGTTCTCTACTGGGAGGTTCACGTGACTGTACATGAACAGGTTTCTGGTCTTCCACAGAGCATGCCTGAAGCAGATGAACTGGTTGAAGCAGGTTGTCAGGGTCCTTTACTGCTTAGTGAAGTGTCTGAACATCACCACCACTGGTGAGGGTCTTGACCCCCGTCACCATTACGAGTACAATTACTCTCCTCCACACCTCCCTAGCGTATGGGCAGTTCCCGAGGAGATGGCCAATTGCTTCCTCCTTCCACCAGCAGGCTTGCCTAGGGTAGTTTGGTGGGCTTCTCTGCCCCTCGGCCCACTGGGCACTCCCTATGCAAGCACTGTGACAATATGCTAGTTCAAGTCCCTGTGTTCGTTCTGTACATTTTCATGGTAGATTCACTCCCACACAGCCTGGAAGCTATTGCCAGGGGCTGTGTTCTCAGGTAACAGTCTATCCTTTGTCCTTATAACCTCCTACATCTTAGGGTGGTTTGTCAGGGTCACTGGGGCCTCACTGGGCAGTTGACATTTGCTCCAGAACAATTCCAGGATCTTGTAGAACCATGCCGGCACCATGGTCCAAAGGCTTGAGGTGGGCACCGTGTACACCCCCACTATTGCAGCTGGTGCCCTGCAAAATACTTTATGAAACCGGCCATTTTGGATTTTGCCCCAGTTGCCAGTTTGCAGATCATCTACCTGGCCTAAAGGAACAGCAGGACATCTGGTATTCTTCAGCCCCCGGTCCATTTAGTCTTGTACAGCATGGTCCTCACAACTTTCTCCCATCTGTAGCCTTAGAAGACGACACACATAGCACCAAGGCGGGGGAGAGGAGGGAACCAGCATGGTGTACACAGAAGCACCGGTAGCAACACTGCTGTCATGAGTGCTACAACCCCTGCCACTGACAGGCAGTGCATGTTCCTCAGTCCCAGGTACTCTTTATTTTTTTTCTTGCAAAAATATTTATTTCTATATATATAAATAAATATATATGTATAACTGTACTTCTAACAAACTGTCACATGACTGCTGTGGTTCACTTGACAGACCAAAAAACACACTTTAACAGTTAAACTATTTTAGTCCCATTACAAAATTCATACCACACACCTGCGCTCTCATGCACTCATCACCGTTTCCCTGAAAACATCCGTTTCATAACAGACTCCCTCGGTTCCCTCCTCTCTCCCCCTCCCAAATCCTCCTCTTGTTTGTCCAGTCCTTTCACTTGTTGTATTTGTCATTGTTGCCATCCTCACCACTCTCTTCGAAGGGCTTGCATCTGAAAAGTCTATGCCAGTCCCCTCTCTTCCATATGAGGTCCACCATCCCTTTCCCATCATCCTCTTCTGTCTTCCCATAGTACAGGAGCAGACAGTTATTTCAGGCAGAGGGCCACATAGGTTTAACAAGTTTTGGCGAGCTGTTGGGGGCTCCCTCTGCTATGAGTGTTGGAGCTGTGGGCACGCAGCACGTAGCCCTGGCAATAGGGCAGGCTTCGCTCCCTCCCTCTGCACAGCGCTGGCCAGAGCCACGCCCTACCAGGCACCTGCACTGGGCACAAGCACCCTGACCTCCACACCTGCTATTGCTGCTGGCAGCTAGGGCTGCAAGCCATGCGGGGAGCGTGTGGGGGGGTCCCCCCACCCACACCCTGCCCAGCTCTGCACTGTGCTTCTGCTTCCAAACAACTGCAACTCTACCTGCACAGCCCTGCCACTTCCCTACCTGCTGCTCCAAGTGAGCAGGTTCTAGCTGGAGCAGAAGCCCCACCCGGACTGCTGGCTGGGCAGAACCCTTCCACCCACAAGGGTGGGAGCAAGGCCCAATAGGTTATGTTGGAGGGTTCTACATATAGACACCTTGCTCCCACCTTTGTGGGTGGAAGAGCTGGGCAGCATGCAATTTGTCGGGGAGCGCTGCGGGCCGGATCTGGCCTGTGAGCTGTATTTTGCCCACCCTTGCTGTAGTACCAGTACATTTCACTCAGTCCCATTTTAATATAGTCCTCGACTTTGGGGTCTGAGTGCCTGCTTATGAGCAGGTTCCTGGCCTTTCACAGGGCATACCTAAAGCAAGAGATGAATTGGCTGAAGTGGGTTGTTGAGGCCCCCTGCTTTTTCGTAAAGTGTCCATCGAGGACTGGTTCTCTGGTCAGGATTCTGAAACCTGTCACACCACCAGGAGTGTGCGTACTTTCTTCCACACCTCTCTGGCATGTGGGTAGTCCCAGAAGAGGTGGTTTATTGTTTCCGCCTCCCACCGGCAGGATTGTCTTGGGCAGCTGGATGGACCTCTGTGCCCTGGGTTGTTTTTTCGTGCTTGCATGGAGAGTGCCCAGTGGGCTGCCTGCCAGTTCAAGTCTCTGTGCTCCTTCTGCAGGTCCTTATGGAAAATTCGCTCCCACATGGCCTGGCAGCTGTCACCACGTACAATTCCACTGGCGATATGATGTCTCTTGCCCTAACACCTCCTGCATCTTGTGGTGGTTCACTAGAGTTGCTAGGGCCATGTCGCACAGTTTGTATTTTTCCTGGAAGCGTTTCAAGACCTCGTGGAACCATGGGTACACCATGGCCCATGGGCTCCTGCTGGCTGTCATGTACACCTGCCACTGTCACAGCAGCTGTCCTGAAAAGTACTTCACAAAGTGGGCTGTTTTGGATTCTTCCCGTTGCCAGTTTGCATACCTGGCTCATGTACCTGGCCCAGAGGAACAGTAGGACATCTGGCATTTCTTTGCATGTGGACCGTTTCACTTTGTACAGCTTGGTCCTCGCCACTTTCTCCCATGTGGAGTTCCAAAAGAAAACATATATAGCTCTTTGGATGACTTGCTCTAAGGAAGGAAGACTAAGGCGGTGTATACAAGCATCAGCAGTTGCATTGCCTTCATCACTGTCATGCACCCCACTATTGACAGGCAGTGCATCTACCATAGCCCCAGTCTCTGTTTGGCCTTGGCCTCCATCTTTTCCCATGACATCTGTCCCATCAGCTCTGGGTCAAACTCCACCCCAAGGACCTATACCTCCTCGCAAGAGATGGAAACCCCCAGGGCTGACAAATTCCTGAGTTCACCCAGGACTAGGCAGGTGCTTTTGCTCACATTGAGCTTGACCCCTGCTGCTGCTCTGTATACCTGAGTGTGTTGGAGCACTCTTTCCACCGAGCCCTTGTCCCTGCATATGATGTTAAGATCATCCATATAAACAAGGATTTTCGTCTCTTCCCCATTACGTCTGGGAACTTCACGCTGCTGATCCTGGGTTCCTGCCTGAGCCACTGTGCCAGTGGTTCCACTGCACAGATAAACAGGATCAGGGACAGTGGACAGCCCTGCCTGATGCCTAACTCCACCACAACTGGGGCTGTTAAGGACCTGTTTACCAGTACCTTGCTACTCATGTTGGTGTACAGGGCTTTTATCTGGGAGATAAAGGTTGTGGGGACTCCCATCTCTTTCAGCATCTCCAGTAGGAGATGATGGGATACACCTGGTTGTAGGCCTTCTTCAAGTCAAGGTTCAGCACAGTAATGTTCCATCCCCTCTTCCATTGGTACTGAAGTGTCTCTCACAGCTGCATCAGGGCTTTGTGAATCTGTCGCCCCAGCTGGTTCTTGTGGCTCACTGCACCTATAATAGACTCCATAGATTTCATAGACATTAGGGCTGAAAGGGACCTCACGAGATCACCGGGTCTAGCCCCCTGTCCAAACAGCAGGAAAGTCAGCTGGGGTCAGATAACCCCAGCAAGGTGAGCATCCAGGCATTTCTTGAACTATCCAGAGTAGGTGCACCACTTCTAGGGGGAGTCTAATCCAGACAAAGTGCTTGGATAAGACTTTGGCCATTAGTTTGTAGTCAAGGTTCAGGAGTGTTATCAGATACCAGTTTCTCAGGTCCCACCTCTCCCCCTTCTTGTACAGAAGGGTTATAAGGCCCTCCTCCATCCTTGCTCCCAGGTGGTTCTCCTACTATGTGCAATATTTGTCCAAAGCCAAAGACTCATGATTTACCATATAGCTCATTGGGTTGGGCCCCACCAGAATCAACATTTCAAGCCCTGGTGACCCCCACCATGGCTCAGCACTGCTCAGTACATGTATTCCATATACCCTCACAAAAGATCCATGTGCTAATTAGCCCACCATTCATGACAGAAACCTGGTGTTCTCATCATGAATTCTGGGATGCTCCAAAAATGTATACGTAGATGAGGTGTACAGCAACCTGCCCCAGCTCCACCTCATGGAGGACAGGTCCACACTAGTCATATGTGAGATGCTGAAAGAGAGGGCAACTGAGGGATTTAGGGTGAACTGTTTAGGACCTGTTTTGTGATGTTTTCCAGGCATTTAAGGCTAGTGAAAAAACAGAAATAATTGGAAATGGGGGAAAGGGGTCCAGCTCAACTGTAGGAATAAAAAGGGAAGTCAAAATGTATGCAATGTAGTAGTTTTCCATGACTTGAAAAAGGAGTCAGCAGTGAGGACTGCACTTACTAGGCACTATCTTATGTCTTATTCAGGTGGTTTGCCCAATGTGGACAATGTGTATTATGGTCATGCTCAGTGTTGGCTGCATTTAAAAAACTTCATAGTGTGTGCGCCTTTAAAGCCACTACCATACTTAGACTATGATTCTCATGTTGGCAACATGTTTGCTAAACGAACAGTCCGTTCCCTTTTTCTCCTCCTGAATCTTACCACTCAGCTTTATATATCGCTCACTCTGAATTATTTAGAGCTAACTCCTTTGGGGATTAAACTGGGTTACCTCAACCAAGGTTTTCAAATAGTTCAAAGCTAACACAGTTTACCCTCTCCAGTGTGAATCAGATACAGACATCTAAAAATATGGGGAAAAAAGATTCTAGAGATAAACTGTAGTCAGGTTAATTTTAAAAACTTATCCCAATATGGAATAAATCCAAGTGAGCCCAAGGCTTTTAAACACAGTTCACAACTGTCCCCCAGAACAATCTGCCTCATATTCACAATCCCAAGCCCATCCAGTACAACAAGAGCTGGGTCTGCATTGCCTGTATGGTGTTGCTGTTTGTGCCACCCCATTTAGTGGGGTGGCACAAACAGCACAAACACTCCTTGTTATGAGTAGCCACCCTACTCATAACAAGGAGTAATGGGCACAAGCTGATGGAGAGGAGGGATAGATTGGACATCCGCAAAAACTACTTCACGGTTAGGGCGGCTAGGAGCTGGAACCAACTTCCAAGGGAAGTGGTGCTGGCCCCTACCCTGGGGGTCTTTAAGAAGAGGCTGGATGCCTACCTGGCTGGACTCGTTTGAGTCCCATTTCTCTTTTTGGGGTTTTTTGTTGTTCTCCCGCCCTGGCGGGGGGTCGGGCTAGAAGATCTACTAGGTCCCTTCCGACCCTTAATCTATGAATCTATTTCTGAGTCATTTCCTCTGAGGCACCAATCACACAAGGTAAAGCATACGCCAAACTGAAGAAAAGAACAAGAGAAAACTTATGGAAAACAGAAGCTGCAAAAGAGAAGCTGTGACTCACCTCGGCTGTAGAGGGGGCTGCTGCTGAGAGGGGGTGGTACAGTGGTAGTTGGTTTCTGTGGTTTGGGTTGCACAATAATTTGATATCCTTGCATGAGACGCTGGCAAATGAACTCCTCGAATACCTGCTGGGCTGTCATCTGCACTCCTTCCTCATCCCTCCTGGGCACAAAGGTTAATCAGGAGACGTGTCAGAGCAAGTATGCTCACCCCATGCCTGCTCTTGGCTCTGTTTTTCCCAGCTGAACCCCATTTCTATGGAAACTGTGCATATAGCACCTTGAGCCTGCACAGATCCAGCTGCAGAATCAGGACATAAGGGAGCTGCATGCCTATTGCTGACACAGATGTGTTCTGAAGGTAGCTGTGACCCAACTGTCTGTCAACATTGACTAGGACGTCTTAAAAGAGTTTTGAAGCTAGTAAGACTCATTCCGACCACAATAAAAGCTTGTTTACAACACCAGTAGTTGAAGTAGTCTCAGCTCTTGCACAAGTTAGCACATATATTAACAACAGACATTTCCATAGCATTTTCCAGAGGATCTCACAAGTTTGCAAATGTTTGGTAGAATTCAAAAATCTAAAAGTGGGGAAAGACCTCTATCTCAGACCAATTCATCAACCATCAGTCAGTAGCAGATCATAGAAGAATTCAAACCATTAAGCGTGCACTAAAACTACCAGTGCATACTCCTTTCTTTCCTCCTGAATCTTACCACCCAGCTTTATACACAGACAGCTGTTTCTTCTAAGACATTTTACTTGTATTCTACTGTTTATTACACTTCCTTAGCACCTGCTCTGTATGATTTTTGTCTCACCCTGCAAGAATTTTCAGTCCTCCTTAATACAGGAGGAGCTAATACCTGTTTTGTTGCTCCAGCTTTTGAAAAGTTTAAAGAGTTGCTGGAAAGAAGATGCACAGCTTTAGGAAGCAGAACTGTCAGAAGTGACCACTGACTAAGGTCTAACACTCAACCCAGAAGAGAAATGTACATTCCATTGGCAACTCAGTTAACTAGTGTATGAAGCTCACAAAGTTTTCATCTTCCATTAGATCTACCCTGATAGAGTGCAAGGTACTCTACAGAGGAAGTGCTGGCCAAACCTGTCAATGTCAGCTTCTGGGAGCAGATCATAGCAGCCCTCAGTGTAGTCATTCTGCAAACTCTGGCGGTCCGGGAAGTAGTCCGTGGTAAGAGGGAGGCATGCCGGAGTAGTGAGAGATTTCCAGTCCACCCCAACTGTACAACAGAAGCCTGGCACTACGGGGGGAGCAGACAGCGTCAGAACTGCCTCGTTGCATCACAAGGAGGGAAAGACAATGGGGGCATGTGTAGTCACCCATGAAAAATTAGGAGCAGAAAGGAGGAGAAATGAAGGGTGCGTGGTGTGAAAGGCAGAGGACAGTTGGAAAGGATGAAAAATAAGCATAGAGTAGGATAAGAGTCACCACGGGGGTGGGGGGGAGGAGAATACGAGGGAAAGGGGGAGGGAGGGGAGAGAGAAAGACAGAGTTTGTTAAACAAATACAGTGCACATGCTAATTCAATCCCATCATGCAAATGGGATTCAAAGTTAATACATTTAATTGTCTGTTGATTGAAAGCTAGAGCTGATATAGGTGCTGTGCTGCTGAGGTTACTGCAAGTCAGGTGCAATTACACATTATTAAACATATTAAA